CCGTCCCAGCCCTTCCCTGGGGAGGGCAACACTTGGCCCTTGGGGTAAGGCCCCCTTCACACCTGTGGGACCAGCCCTGGGGGGGGGGGCAGTGGACCCCGGGCTGTGAAGGGCAGGGGTTGGCCGCCGCCTGGCTGACCCTCTGGCTTGCAGTCCGGCCCGCTCCTGGACCGCGTCTTCGCCACCTACAAGCTCATGCACACGCACCAGACGGTGGACTTTGTCCGGAAGAAGGTACCGGCTGACCCTCCGTGGCAGCTCCGAGGGTGGGATGCCCTCCCCCCTGCCCCGCCTCCAGTGCATGGGCCCGGCCCGGCCCGTGGGCCAGCTGACTCGGTCCTTCCGGGCCAGCACGCCCAGTTCAGGAGCTTCTCCTACAAGAGAATGACCGTCCTGGAGGCCGTGGACATGCTGGACGGGCTGGTGGACGAGTCGGACCCAGACGTGGACTTCCCCAACTCCTTCCACGCCTTCCAGACGGCCGAGGGCATCCGGCAGGCCCACCCCGACAAGGGTGCGCCCCCACCTGCCCCTCCCTGGCTGTGGTGGGGGAGGCACTGCCTCTGGGGCTGGGAGGGCAGACCGGGTGCCCTTTCCCTGCAGGCCCTGACCTGGCACCCCCTGTCCCTCCCCTGCCCTGACCCCACCACCCCCTGTCCCTCCCCTGCCCTGATCCCACCACCCCCTGTCCCTCCCCTGCCCTGAACCCCACCACCCCATGTTCCTCCTCCTCCCAGACTGGTTCCACCTGGTGGGGCTCCTGCATGACCTGGGGAAGGTGCTGGCTCTGGCGGGGGAGCCCCAGGTGAGGCCAGGGGTGGGGGGCGCGTGGGCAGGGCCGGGACAGCCTTAGCTCTGGGCTTGGGACACCCACTTGGCGGGCAAGCGAGTCGTGCCCACCCGTGGCTGCCTGTCCCTCCCCAGTGGGCGGTCGTCGGCGACACCTTCCCTGTGGGCTGCCGTCCCCAGGCCTCTGTGGTTTTCCACGACTCCACCTTCCAGGACAACCCCGACCTCCAGGATCCTCGATACAGGTGCCCCCCCACCCCCGCTGGTCCTCCACTGGGTGCTTCTTCATCTTCTTTTTAAAAATATAATATATTTTTATTGATGTCAGAGAGGAAGGGAGCGGGAGAGAGATAGAAACATCAATGATGAGAGAGAATCACGGATCGGCTGCCTCCTGCACGCCCCACACTGGGGATCGAGCCCCAAACCCGGGCCTGTGCCCTGACTGGGAATGAAACTGTGACCTCCTGGTTCATAGGTCGCCGCTCAACCACGGAGCCACACAGGCTGGCCCAGGCGCTTCTGAGCCCCTCACCCTCCCTCTCTCCCTGCAGCTCGGAGCTCGGCATGTACCAGCCGCACTGTGGGCTGGAGAACGTCCTCATGTCCTGGGGCCACGATGGTGAGGCTGGCGACAGGCTGGCATTGCCCAGGAGGGGCCGCCCCTCTGGGTGCCTGGTGGTGACCCCTCTCTCCCACAGAGTACATGTACCAGGTGATGAAGTTCAACAGCTTCTCCCTGCCCCCCGAGGTAGGTGTCGGGAGGGGCCACCCCGCGGACCCGCCCGCCCAGCCTGGCGCTCGCTGGGGGTGGCCTCTTCCTGTCCCCAGGCCTTCTACATGATCCGGTTCCACTCCTTCTACCCATGGCACACGGGGGGCGACTACCGGCAGCTGTGCAGCGAGCAGGACCTGGCCATGCTGCCGTGGGTGCAGGAGTTCAAGTACAGCCACCCCACGGAGACTGGGGGGGGGGTGGCGGGGGGGTGGTTGTGGGCCTCCCCTGAGTCACCGTCCCCTCTTCGCTGCAGCAAGTTTGACCTCTACACCAAGTGTCCCGACCTGCCGGACGTGGGCCAGCTGAGGCCCTACTACCAGGGCCTCATTGACAAGTACTGTCCCGGGGTCCTGAGCTGGTGACCGGCCGCCCGCCCTGCTCAGGCCTGGCCGGGTGCCCTGGGGGCAGCCGGTGTCGGGCACGGGGACAACCCACCCCAGCCCCCCTGGGGGACCCGCCTGCCGTCCTTGCTCCCCACCCGTGGCCTCTCGTTCGGTGGCAATAAAGACCTAGAAGCAGCCCTAGCTGTTTGGCTCAGTGAATAGAGCATCGGCCCACAGACCGAAGGGTCCCGGGTTCGATCCTGGTCAAGGGCCTTAGTCAGGGCTCCTGCAGGAGGCAACCCATCGATGTGTTTCTCTCACTTCAATGTTCCTCTCTTTCTTTCCCTCTCTCTTCCACTCTCTCTAAAAAAATCAGTGGAAAAATATCCTTGGGTGAGGATTAACAAAAAAAAAGGAAGAAAGAAAAGAAAACTAAAAAAAAAAAAAAGACCTAGAAGCAGCTGGAGTTGGACCTCACTGAGCCCTGTGTGTTGGGTGCAGGGCGGCCTGCGTGCAGGGGCAGGACCCGGCCTCGTGGACATGTGTCCTGCTGTGCCCGTCACCCTCCCAGCTCCCCACTGAGAACCTGGGGTCACCCTAGTCGCCACCCCCCCTTTTCTCAAAACAGTCACCAAGTCCTCTGGGCTTGGTTGTCTTATAAAAAGAAACACCTCCCCGGCCAGTGTGGCTCAGTGGTTGAGCATCAACCCATGAACCAGGAGGTCACGGTTCAATGCCTGGTCAGGGCTCATGCCCGGGCTGTGGGCTCGATCCCCGGTGTGGGGCGGGCAGGATGCAGCCAATCTATGATGCTCTCTCATCATTGATGTTTCTGTCTCTCCCTCTCCCTTCCTCTCTGACATCAATAAAAATATATTTTTAAGAAAGAAACACCTCATAGCTAAAGAACACACTACAGAAACACATAACAAGTGCACAGGGTACAAACATGAACCACGAATACACACACCAGCCCCCCCCCCCCCGTCCGGTGCCCCAGGTGCAGCCCCATCCGGACGCGGCCATCACCCCCTTCCATGGGGTTTTATCCCCCGAGTTGCCCGCAAGACCACAGCTTGGCTGGCTTCCCCCTGGCAGTTTATTTCTTTGAAGAAAGTGGCTCATTTGTCTCAGGGAGTTTCCTTCTGTCCGGGGCTGGAGGAAAGAATTCCTCACTATTTTCGGTAAATGAATGCAGAGGCCTGGTCAGATCCGGGTGAGGCTTGTTGGGGGCAAGGGTGCTTTGGAGGTGGTGGGGTGCTCCTTACAGGCTGTGTTCAGGGTCATCTAAGAACATCCTTAACCCATCGGAGGTCTGGATAGCACCCCGCCCTCCTTCTCCATCCTCCTTGGACCCGGGGGGACCCAGAAGCCCCTCCTACTGCTGCCGGTTACCGTTCGTGTAGGAAAGGCAAGTACATGCTCATCTTTCTCTTAATTTACCCGTCTGCAACATCTTCCAACGGTGGTCAAGTCGTCCGTTTCTGTGTTAAGAACAAACAGATTTCAGCATATTTAGGCTTCAGTTCATGGATTTTAAAAAAATATGTCTTTTTATTGATTTCAGAGAGGAAGGGAGAGGGAGAGAGAGATAGGAACATAAATGATGAGAGAGAATCATGGATTGGATGCCTTCTGCACGCCCCACACTGGGGATCCAGCCTGCAACCCAGGCATGTGCCCTGACCGGGAATTGAATCGTGACCCCCTGGTTCATAGGTCGACACTCAATCACTGAGCCATGCCAGTTGGGGCAAGTCATGGAATTATTGTTACTTTTTAAATATTTTTATTTATTTCAGAGAGAGGAAGGGAAAGGGAGACAGAAACATCAATGATGAGAGATAATCACTGATCAGCTGCCTCTTACACTGGGGATTGAGCCCGCAACCCAGGCATGTACTCTTGACTGGAATTGAACCCGGGATCCTTCAGTCCACAGGCCGACGCTCTATCCACTGAGCCAAACCGGCCAGGGCTGGAATTATCATTCTTACTAGTGCTCAGACAGCCCCATCCTCGCTGGTCCCATGACCCGACCGCAAGCAATGGCCTCAGGGGATGTCTAGCTGTCTGTCTGCTGCATCAAGACTCCCACATTGTGAGCTTCCTGTGTCTGACATAACAAGTTATCACAAACCTCTTGGCTTGAAGCAACACATTTATGCTCTTAAGTTCTGGGAGCCAGACCTCTGAGACCAAGGTGTCGGCCGGGCCTGCTCCCCCGGAGGCTCCCACGAGGCTTCTTGCTGTTTCCAGCTTCAGACGGCCGCCAGCATCCCCCGGCCCTGGCCTCATCCTGCCCCCCTTCACACGGCTTCTTCTCAGTGTCTGCCTCTCTCTTATAAAGACACTTCTCATGACATTCAGTCCCCACACCCCATAATCGAGGATGACCTCAAGATCCTTAATCATGTCTGCAAGATTCTTTATTTTATTTTTAAAATATATGTTTTTATTGGTTTCAGAGAAGAAGGGAGAGGTATAGAGAGATAGAAACATCAATGATGAGAGAGAATCATTGATTGGCTGCCTCCTGCTCACCCCTTACTGGTGATCAAGCCCACAACCCAGGCATGTGCCCCGACTGGGAATTGAACCATGACCTTCTGGGTCACAGGTGGATGCTCAACCACTGAGCCACACCAGTCAGACTCTGCAAGATTTTTTCCCCAAATAAGGTCACACAAGTTCCAAGGGTTTGGTGTGGACATGTTTTGGGGGGACATTTATCAGCTTACACAGAGGCTGCCCAGACCTGGTTTCTATGTATATATATATATATATATATATATATATATATATATATATATAGAGAGAGAGAGAGAGAGAGAGAGAGAGAGAGAGAGACATTGATGTGAGAGAGAAACATCATTCGGTTGCCTCTCATAGCACCCGGACTGGGGATCAAACCCAAAACCCAGTATGCGCCCTGACTGGGAATGGAGCCCGCAAACTTGTGGTGTACGGGACTATGTTCAAGGAGCCCTGGTTTCTTTGAGTGGGAAATGGTAAAAACTCCATCACCTCTTGAACGTCCACCTCCACTCTGACCTCTCGTTGTGGCCATCAGGGGTGCTGGCTGCAGCCCTCCTGCCCGGCTCAGGCTGTGCTCGGCCCAGCCCCCTGTCCTGCCCAAACCCACTGTCCCTCCCCGTGTGCCCAGAGCCGCTGGGCACTGACCTCAGGAGAGAACAGGGTCAAGCTCTTTTCCCCTCAGGAAACTCCGAGCTGACCTGCTCCCTCCATCGCTGGGCAGCACCGGGGAGGAGGGGTGGCTGCCCTTCTCCACCGCCCTCCCAGCCGGTGAGATCGGGCAGGGCAGGCGCAGGTACAGGACGTCGAGTGGGTCCCTCCTGGGGTTGCTCCATGGGTGTGTGGGGGCTGGCGAGGCAGGAAGGGGGGAGCTGAGTCTCGATGAGACCTGGGCGATGGGGCCATGGAGGGCATGCCTCAGGGTGGACGGGCCTCTGCCTCCCGGAGGTCAGGTCAGCGAGCAGGCCAGTCAGGAGGCTGGGGGGCGGGGGGAGGAGAAGAATGAGCCCCAGAGTTGGGGGAGGGGCAGTGCTGGGTGGGCTGCCCCTCTGGGTCCAAAGTGGCCATCCTGATGCCACCCCTGTGGAGCCTCCCCAGTGCAGGGTGGGAGCAGCCGCCTTTGCCCATGTCCCCGGGCCCCAGAGCCTCCTTGTACCCCTGTCAGACCCTAAACTGGCCCAGGTGGGGGAGGGCAGTGGAGGCCAGGGCCCCATATTTCTGCCCACCCAGGGGACTGTCGGGCCTCTGTGGGGGCCCTGGGGCATTGGGACAGTTAAGGAGCCCACCGAGGGCGGGCTTGGCTCTCCCTCCAGCCTGTGCTGCATCCGACCGCCTGACTCCTCTGCCCCCGCCCTCCACCCCTCCTCCAGCTCTTCCCGTGCAATTAGGGCAGCAGCCCCTGGTTTCCATGGCCTGGGGGGCAGGTCGGCCAACACCCTTCAATCGGTAACATTTCTCTTTAAAGGAGCCAGTTTACTCTGAGAAAGCGGGTTGCAGGTAACAGAGAGTGTAGATTTGTTTCCAGGCCTGTTGGGCCGGAAGTTGGGAACCCCCACTGGTGTTGGGAACCCCCACTGGTGTCGGAAACCGGCCGCCCGTGCCCTGCGGGAGCAGAGCAGCGAATCAGGGCCTTTGCTACTCTGGACGGAGGAGCTGTTGACGGTGCGAAGATTAATAAACAGATGGAGTTGCAGGGTCCATCCAGGAGCTCTCAGCCTAGCCCTCGTCTACCCTGCTAGCCGGGCAAGACGATGGGCAACTACTCAGCCAGTGAAAGACTGCCCCAGCTCAGCCAATGGAAAGCCATGACACTTTCAACTCCAAGTTTCATCCAATAGATTCTCTGTTTACAACTACAACAGCCCGGAAATCCCCCCTCCCCCCATAAAAGAATGTTCTCCTTTGGTCTACTCTAGACTCTAGGGACTTGCTGTGGTTTGGGGACTATGAGCGGCCCTAGAGGAAGGGTGGTTGCTTCTAAAGGTGCAACCGGCTCATGAAAATACAATGACAAGTTCAAGGCCCTAATGTCAGCCCATGTCCAAGGCTGATTTGTGCTCTAGCAGCGGTTCCGGTTCCGAAGAGCGGGAGAACCTTTCCGGGCCTGGAGAGTCGATGCTGGTGCAATACACTGAGACATTATTCGCCCTTTTCACTGAGGACGTTCACAATGACATACGTGCAATAGCGGTAAAACGGCTGCCGACCTGCGAAGATCCAGACGGGGCCCCAAAGTGCTGGTCCTGTGTCCTTCAGGCCACGCACCACCAGTTCAGAAAAGGTCATTTGCTCAAGAATGTCTTTGACCGGCCAGAGGTCACGGGAATCGGCACAGGCCGGGGTTGCGGGCTCGAGGCAGCCGATCAAAGATTCTCTCTCATCATCGATGTTTCTATCTCTCTCTCCCTCTCCCTTCCTCTCAGAAATCAATAAAAATATATTTTAAAAAAAGAATGTCTTTGACCAAGGAGTAAGTTATTATTTTTCTTAATTCTCTATCCTTG